ACATTATCACAAAGCATCAGTGAAATCTAATGATTGGTTATTGAGATAGAACAGACGCACATATACAGAAATCCATAAATGATCTAAACTGCAATGACTTGCATACAGCAACCAAATACAAATCTTGTCATATGCAAATTACTACACAGTCTGTGTACTTTTCTGACACATAATTAAAAAATAAAGTTACTGAAATGTTTTGTTGGTCAATTGAGGGCGCTATCACTAGCTGACTGCCAATGCACAAAGTTTAAAAGCGATGAACTCCACCTGGATCTACATATTACATGTGATAACAATTTGGATATTCAAGCCACAAGAGATTTCTTGCTTTCTTATGCTTCCCATAAATGTCACTTTATGTTTATTTTGTATCAGTTTATCTTGTCATGTCTAAAATTTTCATTATGAAACCAATACTGGGATGTAAATCAGCTTTCAAAATACCAGAGAGAGTGATTGGCAATTCAACATTGCAAATCATCAAAATTGTCATCGAAAGGCAAGTTGACAGGCATGGATACTTTTCCGGATAACAGCACATACACTGTCATATCATACAAATTCAAAACAAACAGACAGACTTGTAAGCTTTAGATTAGAAATAGTTTTATTTAACTTCTCTGCTAAAAACAGTACTGTAGAAATCGAGAACAGTAACTAAAATCTTGGTATGGCTGACTTATATTAATTGTTTAAAGCGTTATATTGATGACACAATGTTTCACCCATGAAAACTGTTCCTTCTGAAAAAGTTTAAATCATTGGGTTGGTATTTGTTTTAATATTCCTTTTTATTGTGGTGTATTTTAGGCATGGTATGACTGTGGGTTTCAATATATTAACAATAAACCTGCATATACATTATTTTATTTAGAATAACCTTTTGATTTTAATTAATGGAAAAAGCTTTTTCAAAAAAATTGGACACTTGTTCCATCAACAGGTAGATATTTTAAAGTGGGATGACATGCTTTAAGAATGTTGCCAAACTGTGCTTTTATAAAGCGGTGTGTCATTATTAATTCACAACCCAGTGAACGGTATTGATGTATTAATCTGTCAGTGTTCCCAGCTAAAATAATGAATGATGCAATCTACTTGACTCAGAGCACACCTTGAATCTAGTCCAGTGTTCAACTAAACAAATCCCGTCAGTAATTGTGAGTGGCAAATATATTCCTCCATGCTCTGAATTATATTTTCATAACTAACTAAAGACTACTGCAAACTGGGAAATGACATATCGTGTGCCTTTTAATCTGACACTGGATAGTAAATTAAGAAACTTCCAATGGATGCTAATGCAAAACATTTTGATGACAAAAACTAAATTATGTGTCAGGTACTTTCTGGAGGTATGTATATACCAAGATGCAAGTAGCAAGTAGTAAAATGTGCCGTATGCAAATATTAAAAATGGCCCATGCAAAGGGTAAAATGTATCATTTGTGAGCGACAAAAAAGGTCTATTCAAGGGGTCAAACATTCCCTTGGCGAGTGGCAATAACAGCCAGGGAATATGGGTGTAAGTGAGGGTGAAATGAGACAATATCATTTGCTTAGGTGTATAAATGTTGAAATGAACACAGAATGAATAGTCAGTACAAGTATCACTTACGGGAAATGGTATTTGATCTAATAGTGAAATGGTGAAGTGGTGAAAGTGCACTCATTTTAGTGAGAAAATTTACACAATGTGAGGGGCATTGTTGCCTGATAATTGTTGCATTTCAATAAATATTTGCGTACAATTGTTTATTATACAGTACAATAGTTTTTTACCTCCATGTTACTCGTCGTCGTTAAATAGTTGCCACTAATGGTATTGCTCAATGACAAACATGAAAAGTAGTTGCAAGTGTTGGAATCAATCCTTTTTGAGGCGTGAATATATTAGCTGAGAATGTTGTCATCTGGTCATCAAGTGTTACTACCTTATACTAAAATATGTTTGGATATTTAGAGTAGTGATAAATTCACACTTCCAGTATAGTTAGACTTAAAATACACCATGAATATTCATTTTCATATATAAATCTTGGTATGTGTTGGTTCTTGGATATTTTAGCTTCGTCTATCTGTACTTTGTTCAGTAATTCGGACTTCCCAGATTGCATCAAAACTGATAGTTTCGCGATTTTGACACAGAAAATGCCTAGGCTAAATTATTTGCTGAGGAACGGCCACTTAGGTATGTGCACTTTATTTTGTAGCACATGAACCTAAAAGCGTTAGCTAATCGAACAAAAAATGAAGTTGTACTATTCCTGACTGAAACGTCTCCTGTACTCTCTAAAATTTGACAATGACACTAGCCCAAGATGGACTTTCTGTTCAATGCGTTGTTGATTGTTCACGTCACTGTAGGTACAAACACACTCTCAAACTTGACAACATTCACTTACAGACCACTAAAAGCGATGGAAATACCAGTTGCATAAATCATGAAGATTGATGATTCGATTGCTGGCCGGGATAGCTGCATTTAGTGCTCATTTCTATGCAATGTAAAATACTATCGCTGCTGTTAACGGTGACAATTGACACATTGTTTTGGTTCCGCAGTCAGACACTGACAAGTATAGTAAATACTAGTACTAGGACCTGAAGATAGTGTCATCACACAGTATTCCATTAAGGTGAAAGCCTACTCATGAATTCAAAAACTCAGAATTTATTTATTTTCCAATAAATTGTACGTATGGGAATTATAAGGATATTTATTGACTTAAAAAAAAAGTATCAACAAGCAG